GGGGACGAACACAAACGGAGGAATTCGGAGAGCTATAACCATATAACAAATTAATGAAGTTCACAAGCGAATATGACTAACTAATCAAAAGAAATCGATGAAGAAAACTTACCGGAGAATCCAAGATCAGAGAAAAACCCAGAAACTTGGACGATTTTGTTAAGAGTCAGAGAGTCGTGTCTCCAGTCACGGCTTTTGTAAACTCCGATCTCGTAAAAGGACTCTCTCTGGTTTAAATACCTAAACCATACGGAGCCTCAAGCAAGATTTCGGTTTACTCGGACCGGGTATGTTTTTGTATAATTAATTATCTTTTAAAAAATGATTTTACCATCCAATTTTTTCCCTTAAAATTCAGTTTATTTGCCAAAAGTATTTTAATTTGAAGGATTAATTTAAAAATTACTGACGACAAAAAAAAATATATAATAAAGTACTGTAGCTTTTCATTTCTTGTTCAGTTTAGACCTTTACATATATACTCTTTGTCTTTGGTTATATTAGATATCTTAGAAATTTAGTTTTTTCATTCTAATTTTCATCATTTGTAATTGACGGTATCTTTTAATGGCTTGAAATATTCATTATGGAGTTGAAAAAAGACCAAGATTCGAGTTTTTTCATTGCGATTTTAATCATGGTTGATTATTTTAATGACAAAAATATTGACTTTTCAAATATTTTGGATATCATTATTATATGGTTTACAATTCTTGGTTTCTAAATAAAAATACAACCAATTGTTTTTCTTTTTTACTCGGTTTATGTCGAGCTTAATTGACTAAATAAATTCTTGGTTATACATAAATATGTTACAAATCTATTTATGAGTTTCTCGAAGGCTCTTTAACCAGGCAAACCAACCAACAATGCCAATAGAAAGACTAAAGATGATATGAATAATATTAATTGAAATGGAAAATGAAATATTATGTAAATCTGCAATAATTACAGCTTTACATGAGTAGCAATCGAAGCATAATGTCTCTTCTGCATTGTTCCATCTCTTGCAATCATCTTCTAAATTGTTAAAATATCTTGAAACTTTCCAAATGTTTGGTTTCTCGTAATTTAATCCACATGAAAGTGGTGGTTTGCAGCAACCTGACTGTTTTTAATAAAAAAAAATAACAATATTAGAATGACATAAATTCATAGATAGGTTAATAACACAGCAAAAATACTAGCACAAACTACTACATTACATGTCTTAGTCACATTGATAAATTTTATTTAGTCAAAACAGACTAAAATCATTTAGAAATCATATTATAATTTTATAATCGATTGAATAAATTT